CCATCCCTATCCTTGAGCCTGTGAGGATTCTCACCTGTGAGGTATTCTGACTTCCTCCCACAGCGTGGAAATATGGATGGGATTGTAACTGGTGATTCCAAATGCCTGTATTAGCTGGGCACCATGCTATCAGTTTTAACTATTTGTTTACTATTTTCAATAAGAATAAATAAAATATTGCATTGTTTTCATATTTATTTATTTAGAAATTTTCAGCTGCTGGTGACAGACAGGCAGCAGCCTTTTATCCTGAGTGGCACGATACTGTGTAAACTGAACTGACTGCTGTTACACTCCAGTGATGAAACTCCTGATTTTTTTTTCTTTTAAATATGACTTTAGGTTTTTTTTTTAAAAGAAAGCAAAACAATATATTTACATATTAACAGAAATAAAAGGTATAATAATATTATGTATTAATAATGTCAGCAATACAGAAATATTTACATACTGAACAACACATGCAGTAAAAAAAAACAAGAAGAAGAAAAAAGACCAGCATGGTCACTAGAAGGAAGACACAGATGTCGATCCATATCAGCACTTCCTGCATCTCTAGCTGTGTGGTTTTTGTGAAAGAATCTTCTACTTTCTCATTATCTTAAAACAACCTTTTATGTAAAACTAAAATTTTGCATTTTTTATTATATCTTTAACTGATTATCAAGGTTTAATAACAATAATAACAATAATTTATGAAATGCTTGCAATATCATAGCACAGGCTTGTTCTAAATATTAGGTAGTTTCTTCATTATGCTCCTCTTCAAGTAGAAATAATGTGAATAATTATAAACATCTTGAACAGGGAAGTTGTGATAGTTTACTTTACACCCCAGCTCATACCTACACCCCAGGCATTCACACTCACAATGCAGAGCACACAACATGCAAACATTGTTTTGTATTTTCAGGACGTCTTTTTAACATGCAGTCATTTCCATTTGCCCATGTGTGCTGTTTTCTGAACACAACAAAGTGGCCTCATGAAACTAGGGAGAAGTAAAACTCCTTGATATTAACATTTTTTGTCGATGATGCTTATGATTTTCTGATTGTTTTTAAAATTACAATTTTTTAAACCTAAGTATGCAGCTTTCCAATGCACTGGTTATTGTAAACTATGTTTCCATAGCGGTTGCTTTAGGTTGTTGATAACATCAGTGATCAGTGTTTATCTTAAAGTTTCAAATCCTGTTACAGAGAAGTGAACTAACAAAATCATCAGTTTCCTCTCCTCTTCACCCATGACTGCAGACCTAACGATGGTTCCAACACCATCATTAAGGCTACGTCCACACTAGCCCAGATAGATTTGAAAATGGCGTTTTCATCTGAAAACGCTCCGCGTCCACACTAGCATTTTCAGTTGTTTTCACAGAGTCGTGCGTCCACACTGAAACGGATGAAAACGCTTACTCATATTTCTGTATAGTTTCATATTCATATCCTCTTCATAGTCTATACATAGCTTGTATTAGGGGTGGAAATGATAGAAACGATATAAATTTGGCCAACGATCAAGCTGGCCAAGCGGCGCTACAACCATTATCATCTGCAAATTATGGCGGGCGACAGTCATAGCAAAGAGATGAAGCACTTTTGAAATATGGGGAAAGCCAAAAACTGCGCTTCCTCCACTTCCGTAACATTGATTCATTAATGTTGAATTCTCTCGCAGCTGCTCTATTCCCATGTTGTTGCAGTATATTAATAACTAACCTCGTATTGTGGATGAATAATCTCAGTTGTTCTCCTGACTGAAGTTTGGCCCGTGTATAGCATCCTGCTATGCGATTGCATTTGTCCCTAACCACCAGAATCCCTCACGTTAACTTTTATCGAGTGGAAAAAAAAGTTGGTGGAACATGGTATGTCATGTTTAGGTGGAAACTAGCGAGCTAACTTCCTGTTAACTTGTAACTCTGTTAAATTTAATAAATTCTGTTTTCGATGGATGTTAAACTTAATTGTTACACCCAATAAAGCAGCAACGCTGATGATTTAATTAAAGATGAAAGAATTTAGACCGTTTTTAACTCTTAGTGTTCGTTTGACTTTGGGACCTGAAGGGACGGAGTTTTGGACCCAGATTACTCCGCGAAGCTCCTCACTACGGCAGCCGTAATGCTCTGACAATCCATCAAGCAGTGCGGCTTACCAAAGTTGTACTAAAACATTTTTAACAGATTTCTGCAGCCAAAATCGGTTCGAGGTCAGTAAGCACAACCAGAATTCATACATAAGGCACACTCTCGATTTTTGAGAAAATTAAAGGATTTTAAGTCCTTATAGTGTGGAAAATACGTTATACAGAAGAAAAGAATATATCGTGATATATATCGTTACCGCACGTGCTTCAAATTATACCGCGATATGGATTTTAGGCCATATCGCCCAGCCCTAGCTTGTATACCCACTACAGCCTGTACATATTTATAGTTATAGCATATTCATAACATACCTTCATATCGTGTACATTGTAACATACCCATAATAGACCCATTTTTGTACCCTCATACCTATAACAGACCCATTTCTGTAATATATCTATATACCTATATTATTGCTAATATATATTTTGTAATATATCTATATCATGGCTAAAGCACTTCTGGATGGATGCAAACTGCATTTCGTTGCCTTGTACTTGTGACATGTGCAATGACAATAAAGTTGAATTCTATTCTATTCTAATCTATTCTACATTTAGGAAGAAGCTTTCTGGACATTGACCAGATTCATTTCACTAATATTACAACAAATAATGTGGAATCTTTAAAGCAAAGAAATTATGTTCTTGTTAATTTTTCTAAAAATGTTTCTCCTTTACGGTGATGAGGCCTGCCTTCTTCTTTGTTATGTGTATAGACTGTATATAAAAGATGGACATAATTTATTGTTGCTAAATCTTGTTTCTAAAGCCTGAGTTTGAGCATACTGACTGCAAATTTCTAATATTATGAGGAGCAAATGTCCCAGGCTCATCATGCCAAGCATAATTGTAACCAATTAAACCCTTAAATATCAGGATAGGGCACAGAACAAGTCACTGCATTTCAGAGACCGTGATATAACATACCTATTAACACCTGTGTTAGGCCGGGAACAGAAAGTACCTGGTGTTCACATATAACAAGTATTTTTCTTCCCTTCACAATTCAAAGATTATTTTAAAATGTTTGGAACTACATAAATAGTAATACATGACCAGGGTCCTGAAAAGCGGTGATGCTGTTGAGACGCATGTATATGATTATGGGTTCACAGGCTTGCTTAAGACTTTAAACCATTTACTGACATCCATGAAGATTTTACTGTGGTCACCGATCATAGCAACAGATAAGTCGTCTTGTCATAGACTTTGATGTAATCTGACATGTTTATGAAACCAGGGAAACAACCCTGTTGGTTTTTAGATTAAATGCAGATTTCTTATTGAGTCAACTTCCTGTAACTGCAAAAAGTTAAAAGAGCTAATCATGTTCTTTTCAAGAAACTTTTATTTCACAATTAAAACATCAAAGAAAATATAACAAAATTACAAAACCAACAAAAAACGCAAACCATAAACTAAACACAAACACGTCCATGTTTAACAACAATATTATTAATAATACATTATACACATTCATAACTGAATAGATAGGAAATTCAAATTCTACTGTAACTGAAAATTCTATTTGTGCAACACTTAAAGTGTCCTTTCAGAAAAAATGTAAAGGATAAAATAAAAACTAAATATGATATTTATATAAATTAATGACTGCAATGATACAAAATAAAAATGTTTCAAGAGCTCTTTAGATGATTAATATGAGTTTAAGACGTCTTCAGATGAAACTCCATCAATCTTTTCTTGGTGGTGACTGGAGTTGATCCCAGCTGTCATATGACATCCTGGACAGTCTTCACACCTACAGGCAGTTTTGGTCTGCAGGAGGAAGTCAAAGAGGAGAACCGTTCATGGAGATCATGCTGTGGTCATGTTATCGTGTTTTTTTATTTCAGTTATCAGTTTATTCTCATCTAGGCCTGCACTCCGCAGGGGCCGGCTGGCGCCAGAAGAACAGTAATAGAAATAGTTAACTAGTAAAGATGCAAATCGTTAACTTTCTCCAAATCATTACTTTCTTTCTTTCTTTTTTCTTTTCTCTCCCGCGCCCTCGTGCGCTGTGGTTGTAATAACCTGAAATAAAAAATCCTAATAAAGTTCAAATAAAATTTGACTATCAAGTGGACCACTATAGCAAAGGCTGTAATCCTCCACTTGTGAATGTAAATCTGTTTGGTTCTTTTTGTCCTTCAGACAATTCTGACTGCTACACTGTCGGACAGGACAGGAAAAAAAACGTAATAAAAGTCCCCATACTTCCTGCTGTGAGGTGACTGTGCTAATCACTGCACCACCTTCCTGCCATTTAGAAGAAATTATGAAATAATTTGTACATTTTCATTTACAACATTCAACTACTCAACAAAACAATGTTACTCCCAGTAGGTGCAAAGATCAGAATTTTAGGCTGTTGACAGTCTGAGGGGACAGCTAAAAATATTTGGAATGATGAGCCCTTGACGGATGAAAACAAATAGTGGACTTCAAACAGATGAAGTCCAACAGTGAACTAAAAAGAAATAACATCATGATAATAAAATCAATAGTTGTGATAGGGAAGTGTAGCTCTAATTTCAAACGCTAATAGACTGATAGCAGGAAGGTTTAGGAGAAAGTAATTAAGCAGCAACAGATATATTATAGATATAACAATAATTTGCACATTTGCATTAACATCATTCAGCTACTCAACAAAATAAAGCTTTCTGTGGCTCCCAGTAGGTGCAAAGAACAGGATTTCAAATCACTGAAAGCCTTAGGCATCAACTGAAAAATATTTGGAAAGGATGGTGTTTACTTATCTCACACTTTCTAATTCCTCACCATCTCTCCTGTCATGTGACCCTGTTTCCTCGTTTCCTTCATCTCTGACTACATGATCTGACCTGTCTGTGCTAACATCAGTCACATCTCCTGTGTTGTTGCTCTCCATACTGCAGCAGCACAGACGTGCCAGCAGCCTGTCAATGGGCCCTTTACACATGAAGGCAAACAGAATGAAGTCCAACAATGAACTAAACAGAAAAAAGATTATAATGATAAAATCAGTAGCTGTCTCAGGGTGAAGTGTTTCAGGGAAGGGTGGATATAAATTCAAAGTTAATAGAATGACTGCAGGAAGGTTTATGAGAAAGTAATTAAGCAGCAACAGAACCAAGGTTCCTACGGTTCTTCGTTTTTCTTCAGTGGGCACTGAGGTGGCAGCAGGCAGAGCTTTAAGTGTCCCAGCGAGACAGAAGATGAACAGGGGGGCAGGGAGGGCGGCATAAATAATTAAACGTACAAATTCATATGAAAATACAGCAAGAGCAACACTAACACTACAAAAGACCCAGACCAGAACACAGACCAGCACAGAACCCTCAGTTTGTCTGAAACAGTCCAACAGTGGGCAGGCGATGAAACAATACCTGCAACACAAAAGAGAGATTATGAGAGTACAGAACATAACAATGCTTCAGTATAATATTCAGAGACATGTAAGTACACACACACACACACACACACTGGTACCTTTCCAAAGCAATGCACAACCTGAAGTAAAGACTGGCTGTCACAGAAAAATAGTATAAGAAACACACAATGGTGTCGTGCAGTATGTACCACCGAAGGACCATCATATAGAACATCATGCTGTGATGGATCAGAATGGAGATGATGAGGTTGGTGTAATAGATGACAGGAACCTGATATCTTCGCCCCTGCAGGAAATATTAATTGAAACCACATTAATACAATGTTTAAAATGATTGTACCCAAGTGTAAATTAATGTGTATGAATGAATATATTTATTTTAAAGAGGTAATATATATAGCAAGTGAAATGTTTTACTTGTAAGTCACATTCACGTAATTATTTATCTTATAATATATATTTTTTGAATTAATTATTCACACACCTCAAAATAAACACAATTTTCAGGCTGTTATAGTGAAATGGATTCCCAACAGAAACAAATTGAATATTTCAACACAGCACCTTCTTGCTTCATCACAATACAACCAAAATAAAAGACATGTACTAAATATTTGTTATTTAACTTTTAACTCAGTAAATAAAATTAATTCTGTAACATTTAGAAAAGTCAGTTGCAGAACAGACAAACAAAAAAACCTGTTATGACCCCAAAACACTGTATATAAAATTATATATTACTGTTACTAAGAATATTACAGAGAATTATCACACTTATCTTAAGATATATCTATGTTAAGTGTTGACTGTTTTGCTGTAGAATAACAACATAGTCAGGTGCAGAGGTCACTGAATGGTCCAAAAATAAATGTGAGGCCAAATTCTACACACTTTATGGTTTTTTCTTATTTAGTCAAACTGCAAACATACCGAACGTCTACGGGAGATTTTGTTGAACAATACTCTTATATATGATCAAAGCACAACTATTAATCCCATTAATGACAGAAATTTAGAGAATAATTTCTGAATAGTAGTGAAGCTGTCAGCACATGATTGGTTTTAATGAGTCTCATATATTCACTCATCTGGGATGCGCTAATTTTATGACATGACTGTATCTGGTTCAGTGAACTTCACATTATTACACTTTACTTTTGCTGCACCAATAAAATACATGTTAAGAATTTATTATTTTATTCTACTATTCCTACACTGTCGACTATCAACTGACATTCAAGTTTATGTCAGCTGTCAACTGTTGGGTATATTCCAGGTGGTCGGCAGTCTATTGCTGGGTTAAGTTTTATTTCATTTCATTTTTGCTTTTTTCTGAGTTTTTTAATTGTTCACACTCACAGACATAAAAAGATTATACATACTTACGTACCGCACAACACACACAGCAGAAGAACAGTGTGGTCAATGGAAAGAAGAAGCAGGTAATGATCCATATCAGGACTCCCCACATCTCTGTCTGACTTTCTGTGTGGTGGAGTTGCTGTAGAAGAATTTTCTACTCTCTTTTAAACTGAAAGAAAAAAATATGTGAAACAGCAGGTGATGAAAATGGCTCACTGGTTTGCTCTAAATGCTGGAAAAGACACTTAGTTCTTCCAAATGACCGGATGAAAGGACAGTCTCTCTCAAGTTGAACAGGATACACGCGCACTCAGAGTAAACCTGCTTTCATCTGTGATGTATAACATATGATTTTTAGTCAGATTTTTTTTTTTTACCAAAGTCGCCCAGTTGTGTTTGTCCCATCTTAATTTTTTTTTTAATATTGTCACTTTTTAGCTTTCAGCAACTGTTAAATTTGAAATTCTATTTAACCAAGAAATTAAAACCAGTCTAATTTAAAGCAATCTTCTTGGAGGCAAGTTTAACTTTAGAATTATTTTATTAGACTAGTAATGTGTAGCCAATAAACTGGTAACTGATCATGTCAGACGCAAAATACAGCAGTTATACTGCATTCAACAGGATCAGACAACTAACTTATCTAACATTGTTTGTTGCTCTATAAATGTAAATGTAAATTTCATCTGATTAATATAATCTTATTACACTAAATTACCCTATTTATGATTTTTTCCCTCATAATTTTACATGTATAACTAAAATAATTTGAATTATGCTACACTTGGCCTGTAGTTGAACACCCCTGAGCTAGGGTTTCTGAGTGACCACCACATGACGAGACCAGGGTGAAGAAAACTAGGAGAAAGCTGTGTCCCAAAACGTAGGCTGCATCCTCCGGAGGCCGCATTTGAAGGCCGATTACGTCACAGCCAGGCGACGAAGGCTGTCCCAATTCATCGACTCCTTCAAATGCAGCCGACAAATGCGTCCTTCATTTCCCCGAATTTGAAGGATGGGTCGGGTGTGTCCTTCGTGGCCCACCATATCCCAGAATTCATAGCGCGGCCCAGCCAATTCCAGTTTCCAACAATGGGCTGCTACTAAGTTTTAATATTACTCTTATAGCTGCCATCACCAGTGTGTGAATGTGTGTGTGTGAATGGGTGGATGACTGATTGTGTAAAGCGCTTTGGGGTCCTTAGGGACTAGTAAAGCGCTTTACAAATACAGGCCATTTACCATTTTATTAATTTTTCTGGGTAATCTTTTGGTCCTGGAAGAGATCACGCTGAGAGGTTTCCATGTTTTACACACTCCTTTTATTATCCATTATTCTTACAGATGCATCTGGAGATCAGCACACTGCATTCCTATGTAGTCCTATGCTTAAGGCTGATCTAAAGAACTCCACACAACAGTTAAAGTTATAACCTCTGGTCTCCTCTTCCCTACAGTGAACATCCCCACAATGGAAATACACTAGTACAGTGGCCAAGGGTGCTGACACCCTGACCCCCATCTCCTTTTAAGGTAGTGTCCGTTTGCCCTTTGTCTGCCCCTCACTCTCAGTAACTCTTGCTTCCTGCCCTGGGGGTGGGGGTTGATTGTCCTCCTGCCCTGCACCCCAGTTCTTTGTTCCCATCACCCATTAACCGCAATATTATAGTGTTGCAAGCAATCACAAACTTTATTTTCTTTAACTCTGATGTATCTTATTAATCTTTCTGGGTCACAAAATAAACTTTTAACATATTTTCAGGCGAGAAAGTAGCTGTGTAAACTTCAAATATCTGCTTGGTTTATCAAGACATCGCATATTTGCAAAAGTGCTCCGACGTTTTCGGAGACGTCTGTTCACCCAGCTCGATAGCAAGCAGGGGGGTTCAATGGTCACTCGAAGCCGAGAAGCAGCGGACTCCCAGCTTCGTCGTTTTCAGACCCCGCTGTCTTTCGCTACTCAGGTTAAACATGATATATAAGTAACTCGGATAACCTAAAAATGTAATTGTTTGGCTTTTTTCTGTGTTTTATTTGTTCCGGAGTAAATCCTGGCTAGGGTTAACCCTAACCCTAACCCTAACCAAGACTGGAGTAACATGTATGTTCAAGATGTTGACGTGGCATATGAAAACTTCTTATCAATAATATTAACTAACTAAATCAAAGAAAACTAAAAACCATGGCTAACAAAGAGGATACTGAACACATGCAAGAAAAAGAATTTGTTGTATGAGACATTTTTGTTAAATAAAAGAACAATAGAACCTGAACACACTTATAAGAGGTATAAGAATAAATTGATATGGATCATGAGAAGCAGCAAAAGAAATTAAATAGCTGACAATAAATAACACTGAATTAGACAGAGGATCTGAAATAAAATTCCCTGGTGTGAAAAAACATCACAAACTATCCTGGATTCCCCACATTACTCATATCAAAGGCAAAATATCGAAGTCTCTGGCAATTCTCTACAAGGTTAAGGATCTCATAAATCAAACATCATTATATACTCTCTATTGTTCTATTATACTGCCGTACATGACATACTGTGTGGAAGTGTGGGGAAACATATAAAACACACCCATCCAATATACATTCTGCAAAAAAGAGCAATAAGGATAATAAATAAAGCTACTTCAAGAGAACCATCAAATCCACTTTTTATCAAATTAAATATTCTCAAATTTAAAGATTTGGTTGACCTCAGAACTGCGCAAACAATGTACAAAGCAGCAAATAAATCTTTGCCCCACAACATTCAGAACTTGTTCCAAACAACAATAACCATATGACTGTTCCCACCACTAACACATGACCCTACGCTGTGTCACTGCATCATTCCATGTTTGGCACTGATCACCACCTGCACGCATATCTTTCTACGTAGCACTTTAATTCTTATTCTACTTTTATTTTTTTCATGTCTATTTAAGTGCTATTTATGACACTATGTTTGCACTGAAGCACCGCAGCAATTTCCTAATGTTGTAAACCTGCTCAACATTTGGCAATAAACCCCATTCTGATTCTGATTCTGATTCTGAAATAAGACCAAATACTCATGAACTGAGAGGAACCCTTATGTTCAGCAGGCCAGTAGTAATGACAAATTTAAAATATCACAGCAGTCAGAGGAGTTAGTGTGTGGAACACCTGTACAGATGAAATCAAGAAAAGTACACTGATAAAAAGAGACTGGCCATCTCTTGCATTTATGTAAGCATCTGTGTTTCAACACAATTGCCTCATACTTTAAAGTTAAGTGTAACTGTAATAGTGTAGAAACTACATGATATGTAGAGAGGGTAGATTAAACTGTTCATATCATGTTTGAGTGAAGTAAGTCAATAATACAGCAATGTTAAATCTTGCGACACCACACGGGATTTCAGCTTCGCACGCTTTGGATTGTGGTTTGAGGAAGGCTTCCATCTCAGTCAAGTTGAGCACCTGCCTCTACTTATTTCGGTAAGTAGAGGCAGTTACTATGATAGGGTTGTGTTGGAATCTATACCAATGCAACAAAAAGAAAAAAGCAGTAGATTGACATCGTTCAGCAGCAACGCCAACTGATAATAATAACATGGAATAGCCTGAATTGTGCTGGACGATGTGAAATTAATGTGATTTCTCTTAAAAAATAAAGTTAAAAATAAAAACAGATCTAAAGTTGGCACAGAATAACAAACAGTGGTGGTGAAGGGAGGGATCATGACAATATAAAAACACAATTTAAAGTCGATTGCTAACACTTGATTAAAGCTCAACTGGATTCAACTTTTTTGTGAGTTCAGAGAAGTTTACAATTATTTGATTAACCATAAATTTCAATCAAACTAACTTAGAACTAATATAATTACTGATCTTGAAAACTTTACATGCTAATCTTTAAAAATGATTCAGAAATTGCTCATGAAATATCCCTGCACAGCAACAATAATTCCAAAAACTCCTCAGTGCAGCTTTAAATTATTCTTATAACCTTCATGTTGGCAAGTTAGGATTTTAGACTCTATGACAGGGCCATTCAATTACAGCTTATTGGGTCAGAGTTTCAGAGCAAGGAATTTAGCTGGACCAGGAATTTTCAGCTCTCAGTAAGAACATGTTGTGATGAACCAACACAAATGTACTGAAATAAATCTAATTCAGTTCTGTCAAAGCTATCAGTGCACTAACCATAGCAGTGATACATATGAATACATCTACTGCTGCAGGCTCTGTTTTAAACCAACATGTGTGATTAGGCTGCATGGTTCACATTGCACATTGTGTTGCTATGCAGGCGACAGTTACGCTGACATTCTGTGGGAGAAGTTATTATATTAATTAGTCAAATAGATCGAGGAGGTACAGTTAGTGCATTACCAACACACACATTCACAAAAAGCTGCTCACTCCAAGCACAAAAGAAAAGAAGGTAGTGACTTTAATAAACTATCTCCAGATGTTCTAATTCAGTCAGTTTCTATGTTTTTTATAACTATTCCTCTCTTCAGGTAGAAATAATATGAATATGTATAAAATAAGCGTCACCCTTACTTGTCTCAGGACTGTTTCCAGCTGAACTGTTGTGTAAAATCTGCAATATGACAAGTTTGTGTTGAATGAGGAAGTTGTGGTAACACACTTTATAATCTCCACCCCATACTCACTGATGTTCAAACTCACAGAAGCCCAAACATGAAGCCAGCGAGAGTCAAGATATATTTTAACTTAAATGATCAGTACAACAACTAAGCTGCATCGTTTCTGTTCTGCTGATGGTTTTATTTTGCTTCACAGTCACAAAAGCACATGCATTTTAATACATGTGACAGTATTTTTACACAAGCTAGTACACATTGTTGAATAGTATCTTTATAACAGGTTATAGAGGGAGGCAAAAGTAGTCGTATCTTTACTACAATCATCGAGTGGATAACAGTAAACTGATTAAAGAAGAACAGAATCTGCTGCTCTTTGAAAAATAAATAAATTCTGGCAGTATTCATTTCAATAACCATATAAATGAATTACAGCTAAAATTAAATCTGTATTTCAGTTTCAAACTAAATAATTTGTGCAGTTTTGGTGAATCTATAATCTCTTATTTAACACTGAAAAATTTATGTCTAACAATTATATTTTCTTGTATAATGAACAGACTGTTCTCTCTGTTGAGGTCAGGAAAGCGATTCCGCTCCCTGAAGACCAACACAGAGAGACTGAGGAGGAGCTTCTTCCCGCAGGCGATACGGTCTCTCAATCACACCACCACACAGTACTGACCCACACATATG